GGTACAGGCGCAGCGAGTGCCCAAGGGTAGCCGAGCTAGGGACACCCATGGAGTATCAATGGTGGGCACCGAGATGTGCGCCTAGGCAAAGCGTCGCGAGGGCCTACGGGTAGCACAGCTAGGCACACCCACGAAGTATGCTTAGGGGGCACCATGGAGTGTGCCTAGGCAGGCGCCGCGAGTGCCTACCGGTAGCATGAGCTGAGCACACCCACACGGTATGAGTGGTGAGCACCGAGGTGTGCGCCTAAGCACAGCACATCGAGGGTCCACGGGTCAGCCCAAGCAAGGCACACACGCAATGGCAACGTCTTGCACAATTCACGCACCTCAGCCTCATCCCAATTTGGTGCCCACCCTCCCCAACTATGTGTGATGTCTTAAACACCTGAAATTCCTGAATGACACCTAATAGGGTGAAACTAGCATAGATTTTTCTCATGCACGACCCATACCACCTCAATGCACGACGTTGCGTGCTTGGGTGCATCACCACATGCACTATTGAAGGCAAAGGGTCTTGAGCGCCGGTGGGATGCACGAGCAAGACACACCCAAACAGTGTTGAGGGATGGGCACCGAGAAGAACGTCTAGGCACGGAGCCTAGAGGGCAACCGAGAAGATCGATATAGGTACACCCACACAGCACTAGTGGTGGGCATCGAGGTGTGCGTCTAGGCACGGTGTCGCAAGGGCCAGGGGCAATAGGCACACGGCACCGAGGTGTGCATCAACGCACGGCGCAGCGAGGGGTACCGGGAAGCCCGAGCTAGGCACACCCACCCGGTATGGGTGGACCGCTCCGAGGTGTGCTCCTAGGCACACGACGCTGCAAGTGGCCAAGGGTAACCGAGCTGAGGACACCCACGGAGTATCGGCGGTGGGCACTGAGGTGTGCGCCTAGGCAAGGCGTCGCGAGGTCCTACGGGTAGCCGAGCTAGGCACGCCCACACAGTATGCTTCGTGGGCACCGTGGAGTATGCCTAGGCAAGGCGCCACGAGTGCCTACCGGGTAGCACGAGCTGAGCACAGCCATGCGGTATGGGTGGTGAGCACTGAGGTGTAAGCCTAGGCACAACGCATCGAGGGTCCACAGGTCGGCCCAAGCAAGGCACACCAACGCAGTGGCAGCGCCTTGCACAAATCACGCACCTCAGCCTCATCCCACTCAGGTGCCCACCCTCCCCAACTATATGTGATGTCTTAAAACACCTGAAATTCTTGAGTGACACCTAATGGAGTGAAACTATCATAGATTTTCACCAGGCATGACCCATACCACCTCAATGCACTACCTTGCGTGCCTGATTACATCACCACACGCACCGTTGAAGGCAGGAGGCCTCGAGGGCCAATGGATGCCCGAGCAAGGCACACCCACATAGTGTTGGGGGATGGGCACTGAGATGATCGTCTATGCACGGCGCCCCCGAGGGCAACCGGGAAGGCCGATATAGGCACACCCACACAGCACGGGTGGTGGACACCGAGGTGTGAGTCTAGGCACGGTGTCGCGAGGGCCAGGGGCAATAAGCACACGTCTTGGGTGGGGGGCACCTAGGTGTCCATCAAGGAACGGCACAGCAAGGGGTACCAGGAAGGCCGAGCTAACCACACCCACACAGTATGGGTGGACTGCTCCGGCGCCGCGAGTGCCCAAGGGTAGCCGAGCTAGGGACACCCACGGAGTATCGGTGGTTGGCACCGAGGTGTGCGCCTCGGCACGGCAGCGTAGCTAGGGACACCCACACAGTGTGCTTGCTTGGTGGGCACCGAGGTGTGCTCCTAGTCACGACGCTACGAGTGTCTACCGGTAGCACGAGCTGGGCACACCCATGCGGTATGTGTGGTGAGCACCGAGGTGTGCGCCTAGGCACAACGCATCGAGGGTCCATGGGTCAGCCCGAGCAAGGCACACCCACGCAGTGGCAACGCCTTGCACAAATCACACACCTCAGCCTCACCCTACTCAAGTGCCCACCCTCCCCAACTATGTGTGATGTCTTAAAACACCTGAAATTCCTGTGTGACACCTAATGGGGTGAAACTAGTATAGATTTTCTCTAAGCATGATCCATACCACCTCACTGCACAACGTTGCGTGCTTGGGTGCATCACCACAAGCACCGTTGAAGGCAGGGGGCCTCGAGGTCTGATGGGATGCCCGAGCAAGGCACACCCACGCAGTATGGGTGGTGGGCACCAAGGTATGCGCCTAGGCACACAGCGTCGTGAGGGCTGACGGGTAGCCCGAGCAAGGCACACCCACGCTGTATGAGTTGACGGCTCCATGGATTGCGCCTATGCACACAGTGTCGCGAGGGCCTACGGGTAACCCGAGCAAGGCACACCCATGCAGTATGGGTTGAGTGCTCTGCGGTGTGCGCCTAGGCACACCTCAAGCCAGGGGCAATAGTTAGGCCTTGTCTTTGTAGCTAACAGGGTAATGTAAACATTATTGTTTAGTGCTTACCACTTTACATTGTTTTAGTAAGCATGTAAGATAACATGATCAAATCATAAGCATAATATGTACAGATACAGAAACTGGAAAATGTCAGACTTTTCTCCATGGAACGCTTCACTAAAGTTCATGCACATCAACACAAAGGTACAAGTCAACCATGTAGCACATGTCCAAATACTACGCAACATGGTAAGTACCTCAGCACAACAAATTAATGGACATATCAGTGTTTGTTGTCTATTTTTCTGCACACAAGCAGAAGATGCAGCCATATAGATCTGCATATGCGAGCATCTATGTGGCCTATGCCCTGCCTAGGTGGGCCTGCTTGCATCGCTTTGATGTAGCCACATAATGAGTAATATGGCCACATTTGATAACTATGATAAATACAATAGGAGAGGGAAGGAAGAGAACCAAAGACAATAAGTGAGAGAAAAAAGAGAAAAATGAAAACGACCCGAGAAGAAGAGATGTCAAGATGACATTCCAACTACATACTTCGGTTCAATTTTGAACATCGACAAGACTAGAAGCACCCCCTTGTCCACCCCTTCATTGGATAGCATACAAGCTTCCTAGGGGGATATGGCAGGATCAGACCTCTTTATCATCACAAACACTTAAAATCTCTATTTAAAGAACATCAACAAACACCAAGGAATCAGCCCTTCTTTCCAAGCCCATATTGTAACATTGAGGCAATTCCTCCCCCCCCCCCCCACCCCACCCCACCTCCTAGGGCAATGTTACATGACACTCTCATTCCTACCAACAATGCATGTGTTTCAGCCTTATTGAATCCCAACAACCCAACGGATCCAAAAGTGTTATAATTTTAATACTATTTATATCTTTTGGCTTGTTGTTGCTTTGTGAACTGTTTTGTAATCCTCTATTTCCATCAATACAATGTTAATAGTATTAAAAAAAAATTACTATTTACATCCCAAAGTATACCTCCAGTATCCACCAGGCACGTGTTACCCTACGAACCTCCATTAGACATACCATCCCTAGGGTGAGACTAATACGCCACCAGTCGAGGGATATGGGAGGTTAAAGAGAACCACCAAAAGCCATTCTCTTAGAAAATTCGACACCTGTCCAATTGTTCCTCCCCTTTCATAAACTCAACAAGATAGCAAGACAGCAAAGCCTCCACATCATTTTCCCCGAAGGCATCCTAGCAAAGGAGAAACAGGAAGCATCCCCTTGGAAATTCATCCACTGATATTGACATGACCCAATCCGTCACAAAAAAACCCAACATTTAAGAGCATATCCCAGTAACTGCTTCACAATGAACTATTACATGTCTCATCATCTCAGGCTCCTTGCTGACATTAAGTACATGTTTGGCAAATAGAGTCCTCTTTTGAAGGTCACCTATTAGTAATTTAGTCTTTACATGCCATCTAAGATCTAACCTAACAACACCACTAGGAATGGAGCCTTTACCACCCACACCGCTCAACCCGAGGTGGTACTCTCAATCCCTTTCTCCCTCATTAGGGTCTTATAAATAACCTACAAGCGAAATTACCTCCACCCAATTCCGCCTATCTTTGCCTATTAATGGAACATTTTCTGTTTCAAGTTTCCTCAACATATCTAACAATTCACTCATCTCCTCTTCTCTATTAAAGCCCAATGGACCTAGGATCCCACACCCCTGTCCCTCCCAACCGGGAGAAGTACTCACCTACCCAAGACCCTGGTTTAGCTGCCTCTCCCCCAACAGCCAGTCCCCACACCACGAGTCACCCCAGAACCCAACTCAACTCCCATCCCCCATACCATACCAAATTACCAACTACACTGAGTGAACTCCCAAATAACCCCACCTATAGCCCTCCACACAGCTGATTCCCTAGCCCATCTCTTCTCCCTAACTGCTCTACTTATTAAAAACGCTCTAAACTCACAAGAGATATCTAAATATAAATAAAATTTTCAGTACCCTCATAGAAAAATATCAAGCGAATCATGTCTGGTTTGCATGCAAATTTGCAGCTTACATCACATTTAACAGCTTTGGAAAACAAAGAACCCACTGAAAAAAATATAAGGGAAATTTATCAAAATACAACTTACTTTTCAACAATTTAAGAGTTCACACTTTTTCAACTATTCCAACTTAGGGTCATATGTATTTTGATGGGCATTTTGAAATTAAATCAGAAGACATGGGTAAAATGTTAAATAGTAAATCTCTTAGGCGTATTTTGATAAATCGCAAAATATAATCTCGAAAGGTAAGAAAGAACACGAACAATGATCAAACATGAAACCATACATAACTTCAGCAAGTCAAAGAATTTCATAGGACAAATGCATCCAAATGAAATTAGCAGATAATATCAAACAGTATACTAAAGAAGCGGCTCAATCCTGCTTTCCACATACATTCTCATATATAAGCCAGAAACTGCATAGTTATATATCAAAAAGGAAGGTAAAATGTGCACAACAAAAGCATAGATTATCCTTAATTTTGAAAACAACATGGTGCGCACTTATATCATATACCTGTCCCTTTTTGGTAGTTAATTGCTGAAGTATAGTTTCTGGTCTTGTCTTTCCAGTATTTGGCTCACCCCTACAAAGGAAACTATGTCAACATATGAAATAAGTAGCATTTCAAACACAGGGAAGTACATTCCAATCTGATGAGACTACAGGAAAACCATTGTCAATGGGGTCATAATCATCCAATGATGGTTTTTACATAGTCCCATTGCACTACAATAAGATTTCCCTTTTTGCCAATGCTAAACTAAATATGCTTCCGATATTAAGGCTATAAACAAGTGGAAAACACGGTACTTACGTCTTTCTATCAAGAAAACGTATGGTAATATTATTGACTTCAGCCTCTGACACTTGCAGCTTAAGGATTCCACCTGAAAGTATCTCAATCTCTGATACCTATAACATACATACGAAAAAAAGGAGTCAATCAATAAGATCCATAGAAGACAGACAACAAGTTTCTACTTTAAGAAATCAGTGGAACAAGTTCAAGTTAGAGACCCAAGACAGCAAGCACTAACCATTCCAAATAGTCCACGCTCCATATACCATCCATTTATAGAGTTTATCACTCCATCCAAATGACGGATATTAACAACCTTACCTGCACAACTTGACAAAGAGAGTTAACTCAATTTACAAGGAATTTGGTCAAAATAATTTTTAACGCCTATTATAAGTTGTGATATGGAGAACAATACATGACAGATTCTGAGAAACTTGACTTTATTTCACTTCCAAAGAAATAACACGTAAATACACCTACCGTATCCATCTCTAAAAGCATCCTCTAAGAATTTTGTAGGTAGAACATTTGCTTCTTCACATATCAACCCCTTGAACTCCTGATTTGGTTCTACCTTGTAACAGGACATGTCAACAAAGTTAAAATTAATCCATTGATAGCAACAGAAAATTTAAAAATATCACAAAAATTGCCTTTGAAAGAAGGGGTTATGTAGAATTCCAGGTTGTAAATTTTAAAATTTCTTTCTTTTTCTTTTACTAATTGCTGGAAATACCCTAAGGCATGGAATTATAAGAAATACCCTAACGCATGGAATTATAACGATCATGTGTGATAATCAAGCCTCCATAGCCGTGGCAAAGGAACCAAGGTTCCATAGCAAGTCAAGACACGTAAGGGCACAACATTATCATGTGAGAGATGAAGTTGAGGCAGGTGAGGTAGATATGGTGTATATCCCTACTGAGGCTATGCACACGAATCCATTGACTAAAGGCCTCAAAAGGCCAAATGGGCGAATGTTGGATTTACGGCCTTTCAAGGCCTTAAATCTAGGGTTCTCTTGCCCTTCCATGTGACCACGTTAGCCCACACCATCACATAGTAACCAAGTCACCATATTCTGTCCTTTGGCAACCTACTTAATCTCTATCCAGGTATGCTTGAGCTTAACAAGTAAATGACAGTTGTTGGAGACTAGGAGGCCTTCTACAGGTTAAGATTCCACCTCAAGATTAACATGTTGTTTCCTAAATTGTGTGTGGCCTATGCATAAACTTACTGACAACATTAACAGCATCATGTATTAGAGGATAACCCATAACGACATCTAGGCAGAAATCAGCCTCTATGTGACATTTTCTACTCTTAGCATCCAACTTTCCACACTCCTTGATAAGCAAGGTATATTTCATTTAGGACAGAAAAATTCCTTTAGTTGATCTGCACAACTCTATGCCAAGGAAATATCATAGTGTCGCGTATGCATAAACTGACAGACAACACTAACAGCATACATAATTCAAGGCCGGGTAATATGTAAAGGCATTAACTTGCAAACGAATCCCCTGCACATATTGACCACAAGGCCCGCGCACCCATTGTTTGTGAAACTGGCATAGCCCTTATCGTTCGCATATTGGCTAGTGGTAAGCTAGTATGACACTTGCCAATGTAAATTTTAAGTCATCAGAACCCCATTCAGTCATTCCACACAAGCACAGATCCACGTCCCTATAGGTATGCGGACACATATGAATGCACATACAAATGGTATAATTTCATCCGTGTGTGAAGTAATTTTAAGCAACACAGCATTGAGGGTGATACTGGCACCATAGAGCATAATTCATAGGCCATAACTCTAACTTACCCAATAGTTCCCGACACCCTTCACATAATGATCTAGTGTACAAAAGGACAGTCCATCTAAATCAAAATTTAGCATTTAGGTTCACCCTCCAGCCCCGACCCTAATTGCTCACTTCCAATCAGCCAGACAAGAAATGGACACAACTCTAAATAAATTTGACTCATTCATTGAAACGGGGGGGGGGGGGGGGATGTGGAGCTCAAATAAATTTGACTCAGTTACATTAGAAACGGGGGGGGGGGGGGGGGGTATAGTGGAGACTCAAAGTACAGAATCCAGGTTAAAACTGAATAAAGTCGTAAAGCCA